TATGGCACCGGGGCGTGCGAACGGCGGCGGCGGCAGCGGTGGTTGTGGTGGTGGTGCGCGTGTGGCGGGCGTGGGGCCCGGGCGGCTGCGATGGCCAGGCAGATGAAGGGGGCTTTTCTGCGAAACGAGTAACGGGGGCGGGCGGCAAGGAGAACACGCGACGCCGTCCTTCGTGGATGGTGCCCGTTCCCTCTGCATGCCGCTGTCCTTCTTTTTTCTTTTGCGCGGGGGAAGCCAAACAACCTTCTTGCATCGGGCGGACCCCTCCCCCCGCGCGTCTCCCCCCGCGCGTCTCCCTGCATGCTGCCTCTCCACGATTTCTGTTTGTCTCTGCTTCCCTCGCCTTCTCTATGTTTGTGTTCCGCGGGCGTGTCTTTGTTTTTGGTGGCGCCGTGCAGCATTTATAATAATAATTTTTTTTTGTTATTTTTGGTTGATTGTGCCTGGTTTGGATGTGGAGTGTGGGGATTAAGCAAGAGGAGGAGGGAGGTATACAAGGACAGGGACGGAAACGGAAAATAATTATATATAAAAAGAAAAGAGCTTCACGTGGAAAGGAGTTTTTTTTTTGCGTGGTAGACAGTAGGGCGAGCTTTCGGGTTTAGCGTGCGCTTTTTTTTTTGCCGCAAAAGCTTCCTATTCGTTTCTTCGACACGCGTGCGTTGGAGACGGCGGGTAAGTTGTGGGGGATGCCGTGTTACAGGCAGTACGAGGCGGACCTCGAAGCGCTGGAGTGGGCGCGGGGCGGCGGAGGTTGCTGGCCGTTCGTGACAGCAGATGAGGAGGGCTGCCTGCCCCTTTTGAAGGCGTGTAACAATCATTTGGAGCTGCTTGCGACGGTGCAGCGTGCTTTGGGTGCGGCCGACTCTCTGGCGATGCTCTCAGGCGCCATCTCTTGCAGCGGCAGTGAGGCGCAAGGGGACACTGCCTCGCCTTTTTCGAGCAGTGGCAGCGAAGACATGAGTGCAAGTTCAGCGTACTTGCAGGCCATTCTTGCCGCTGTGGTGACGCTGGCGGAGTCCCAGCACATTGATTTGGAGAATGCCGTGCGGAACCGCGTTCGCTCTCTTGCGCTGGATGATCAGTCTTTGCTGGGTCACCTTGTCGCCGAAGGCCTTCACGCACCGATGGCTGCGGGGGCGGAAGATGTCGACTCGACTCCAAGCGACCGCGCGGAGCACACTAAACACACGCAACCGAGGCGTGCACAGGAGGGAAAGCAGCGGCAGCCCTCCGCGCCGTACGCTGAGAGAAGTGATGTCACCTCTGCGAAAGTGACTGTGGATGTGACGCTGGATGACGCACGAATGAGTCACGCCTGCGACGGGAGTGATAGTGTACCGCAGAATCACCTGGATAATCGTAGTGCCGAGCGTCACTCTTGCGGCGGCGATGACTTCTTCTTGGATGTGACGGTCATGGCGGCGGCGCTTGGGGTTGAAGTGGCTGGCGGTCCTGAGGACGTGCAGGTCACGCCAGCGTCAAATGTGCCGCCTCACGCCTCCGGGGTGCTTCTCGTGGGAGCGGAAAGTTCCTACCGGCCTGCGTCGTTACCATGCGTAGCTGGAGTGACAGCCGCGATGGCGTCGCAGCGCGCGGACGCCGAGACCCAGGTGCAGTGCCGTCTAGAGGGGCAGTACCCACGCCCGACGCGAACCACGACGGCAGCAGCGGCGGATGTGCACTCTGGGGCAGCGCCAATGCCGTGCACTGCTGCCGTCGGTGCGTCCCAGGCCTCACTGCAGCCGACGCATGCGGTGCGTAACGATGGCGTGGAGGAAGCGTGGCGAATATCAACACGACATTGTGAGGCCATCCTCCCAACTGAGTCTGCACATGCGGTGACAAGCCATTGTGCGCTGCACGTATGTGACCAGGCCGAAGACGTTGAAGAGGACGACGAGGATATGGCCTTTCTTTCTGTTGCTTCTGTCACGGATGGGCTGAGTGCGTACACGGCAACGACGGGAACTTCGGCGATGCGAACGGCAGTAGTGTCTGCGGACGCCCCATTAGAACGGGGATTAGCCGTAACATCGGGAAACGAGGGGGGCGGCGTTGCGCCCATCTCAACGATGGCCGGTGGGTCAGCAGCTTCAGAGACTTTGTTTGGCCAGGAGGCAGCACACAGCACAGTAGCGAGACTGCAGGAGACGGCTTCCACGGGATGCCTCGTCGGTTCTCTGTCGAGACTATCACCGAAACCCTCCGCCTGGCCACCGTTTCCGCGAAGAATGCAGTATCCTTCTTTGCTCCCCGCCACGGGGTGGTTGATGCATGAGGCACGGCCCGACACCATCGCCGACACGGCTGCGTCACTGTCGATGCGACTTGGCCACATCCCGGGCGCGTTCTCGCCGCCGGATAACGTTGTAACGGCGCATGTCCCGTATGATTCCCACCAGCGTGCGGAGTTGGGGAGTCTGCCCCATGCCCGACCTAATCTCTTCTGCGGCGAAGAGGCGGCAGCGTTGTCGTGGACTCTTCCCGTGAGCCTCGGCAGCGACACTGCCGAGGGGCATGCGCAGAAACAGGAGGATGGCGCAGCGGATGTCTCCCATGTGGACAGCAAGAGCTCGATGGAGCTCACCATGGGTGTCATGAGCCTGCTGCCGGTGTCCTCAACTTCGCCGCTGGCAAAGAAAAGAAACCTTCAGCTGCAGCTGCAACAACAGTGCGAGGCTTCTGCGACGTCTGCCGTGACCGTCAATGTTTCACCCTTTTTGCCCTGCGAAGAGTCCACCCCGTCCTTCTACTGGGGTGAGGAGGCCGCTGCCCCAACGACGACGACGACGGTGACGGCGATGGCGACCAACGCCGTCACGTGCGTGCTTTGTCCAGCTGTACCATCAGCGCTTTCAGCAACAGAGCACGTGGGCGAGAGCGCGAATCCTGAAGTGGCAGTGTTGAGAAACACCGCAGTGGGGGAGGGGGGAGCTGCACCTGTGGAAGGCGATTGCTTGTGCACCACCTCGCAGGGGGTGGAGGGGGTGTGCGCTGTGACGGCGACGACGCCCACGCAGTCCACAAGGACCCACGCCCCACCTTCCACGCCACTGCAAGACGGCTTCCATGCGACGGCCAACATTGCCACCGTCGTGAGCGAATCTTGCCGTAGCTCAATCAGCGTTGGCGTCACGGCTGAGGATGCAGACATCGCGCAGCCAATGCCCTCAACGGAGGCAGAACGTAGTGAGCCGCCTCATCAAACCTCATTGTGGGCGGAAAGTGAGCAGCGTGCCAGGCCCAGTGGGGTGATATTTCCATATGGTCTGTTGCTCCTACAGCAGTTGCTGCAGGAGCGGTAGAAGGAGGAACATCGAGAAAACGAAACAAAAAGGAGGTGGGGGAAACTTACGTTGCTAACGCAGCAAAAAGTAAGGGAGAAACACCAACACCAACAACAATGAGACTGGATGAGAGGTGTGTGTGTGAGTGTGCGGGCAAGTGAAACAGAAGGCATCAGGTCTAGTGGAATGCCAGCATTGCGGGGTAATAGTGAGTGAGTGGGGGAGCGGGGCGCAGATAATAATAGAGAGATATCGAGATGGAGGCCAAGCGACTTATGCGCCTTACAACAGCAACAACAATGACTGACAAGCACGCTGTAGGGGGATTTATTGTTGCTTCTGATGGCTCTTCCAGCATTTTTCTCTTTTCTTTGCCACATGCCTGCATGAGTTAAGTGATACATGGGTGCGTTGAAACCACAACCCTGGCATGTGCCTCCCTTCCCTTCCCCCCCCGCCATTAGCGTTAGGGTTCATTTCAAATGCTTGCGTTTTTTTTTTGTTGTGTGTTTTTATCTTATTTTTGTTTTCCTTGTATTTTTACATTTTCCTCCTCCTCTTGCTCTCTCCTCTCTTTCTTTTCCTTCTTTGTATGCGTATGGGGCGGGGGACGGGGGTAATGTCAGTGTGTCCGAAAGATATATATATATATATGTATATCTGGTTTTGTTGCAGTTGTAATGCTTGCACGGAACGTGGCGAGACGGCGTCTGCCTGTTTTTGTTCTGCCGGAGGTGTTAGTGGTGACGGTGACGAGGCGGCTGCACGTAGACGTTTCTATGTATCTCTCTTCACCCCGTTCTCTTATGTTTCTTCGCACATGTGTGTGGTTGTCTCCGGCTTCTCTTTTCTCTGAACAACGTTGTGTCTGTCTGAGTGTGTGCCAAAGACCCGCAAAAGGGCACTACAGCGACGCCGACGGCCACCATGACATGCAGGGATGCCGCCGCACTGTGTCTGCCTGTGGAGCGAACGGAGGTTCTCTACGCCGTTGCCACAGGCGACGTGCGGCTATGGGAGCGGCGAATTATCCACTGCGCACACAAGCGTGTGATTGCGGCCGCCGCAATCGCCTCGAGCGACACCGTCGACAGGCGTGGCAGTGGTGTGAGTGCAGAGGGGGAAAACCGTTCCGCCCCAGGCCCCAGCCAACCACAGCAGCAGCAGCAGAAGCAGCGAAAGGGGACTAATGACCATGGGGGGATGTTCGGACGCCTTTGGTCCAGTTTGCCTGCCGTCGCGCCAACCACATCGGGGGCAGCAGTGACAAGCGGAGAAGACAACGGTGCGGACTTTTCGCACTACACAGGGCCAAATTTTTATATTCTTATGGAGTTGATGCAGGGCGCCATGAACATGACGACGGAGGCAGTCAAAAATGACGCGTCTGCCTGCGCTCCCACACTCATACAGCGGATGCCATGGAGCGGGGATCTCTTGACGGCGCTGCTGAATATAATGATATTTCACGGCAGTGTACCGGCCGTGGGTCGATTTCTGGGCGTGCTCCTCAGCAGCTACGTCATGGCTCTCGTGTTTCACCGGTGTCGTCGCGACGGCAGGGCTGCACGGGCGCAGCCCACTGAGAAGCTCAAGACCAACAAAGAGGGAGATGAAGTGGGAGGGGCACACATGCGGCTTCTTCAGAGCGAGGCCTTCACTACTCTCATTGCACGCCTGGCGCAAATATACTTCCCTCTCTGGCGACGACTCAAGGGAGCGGGGGAGGATCCGGCACGGCGTACCGAAGTGCGGGCTCAAACCGGGCAGCTGCAGCTGCACGTGCGCTGTCTGCCGCTACCGCAGTCCCACAAGAATCCTCTCACGAAGTGGCGGAGCATGACCAGCGGCGGCGCCAACGAGGATGGTGGCGGTGGTGATGATAATTCACAGGCTGCTGCATCGCGGGGATTCCAGTCTAAAATCATTGAATCGGTGTTTAATCAACGCAACACCCGCCGTGCGTGGGTGGGGCTGCGTGTATGTAGTGACGCAAAGCGGCGGGGAAACTTGGGCGTGGCCGCCAAGGTGACGCCTGCAGCTGCTGCGAATGAGAAGAAGGCGGAGGCGGGGGATGAGGACAAGGACACCGACGGCGAAGAGGACAATAATGCGGAGGACGTTCCATTGACTCTGGAACACGTGCAAGAGATTGTGGTGTGCATTGCTCTGGCAGAACTCGGCAGACTCGTTCTGTTGTCGGACGTCGCCGATGTGCCTGGAGACGCTTTTCAGGACGTCCACGCGCCTCAGCGAGGGCAGAGAGGGATGCTGGAGGAGTCAGCGCGGGAGGAGGTGTCGGAAGCGTCGTGTGTGGAGTTTGTGGCGCACGTGCGTCGCGGTGGGAACGCCAGCACCGCTGAACAGGTGCGCGACGTTGCCGCCATCCTGCGTGAGGTGGGGGATGCCTGGCGACGGCAGCTCTTGACGGATGCCGCTGCGTCCACATCAGAGCAGACGCAGCCAGGGCGAGGCACCCACCCCCGTGTCAACAGTAACCACTGCTGGGTGGTAGTCGCGATGTGTCGGGTTTTGAAGTGCGTCTCGCAGACGCTCGGGGGTGTTTGCCTCACATCCGCCTTTGAACCCACGCAGCGGGAGGGCCGCCAGCGGCCCTGGGAGTATCAAGAAAAGGACCTCTGGTACGTGAACCTCCTCTTGACGTGCCTGTGCGTTGCGGGCGGACAACTTCCCCAGTCCCTCACACAGTTCGCTTTGCGGCTCACAGAGTTTACCCTGTCCGATATGCTGCTGATGAACGGACGCGCCCACGCGTCTGCAGCGCCACCGCTGCAACAAGCGACGAGCGGCTGCTGCACCATCGACGGGGTGAATGTCAACGGGCACGATGACGCAAAGGACCCTGCTGCGGAGCGACTGAGGTTGACTAGCGACCGTGTATGGAATGCGGAGGCGAGACAGCGTTATCTTGCGGCATCTGCACTTCGCACAACGGTCTTGAGGTTTATGCGGGACTGTTATGCACGCGGGAGTGTGGCGCCAACGGACACACATGCCCGTTTGCTATCGGCAGTGCTGCGGCAACAAGTTCTGCTGTGGGAACGATCGTTGCGGGGCGTTGTGCTGCTGGCGCCCCACGTTCGCAGCAGTGCGACGAGTCTGCCGCACGATGGAGCCGATTTTTGGCGGCGAGACGCCTTCATTGCGGTGGACCCACGTGAGCAACCGGAGGTGGTGTACAAGTTGGTCTGGTGGCGTACACTGATGCTGCTTGAGTGCCTTTGCGCTCTTCGCGATATGTTTGCGGCAGGGGCCGTGTGTGGGTTTCTGTGCGACACGGTTCCATTCGTCTCTGCGATAGGAGAGCTCGGCCGGGTTCTGCAGATGGTCTGCTGGATTGACCTGGACGCCCGGCGAGCCACACCGCCAAGGACGCGTCATTCAAGGGCCTCCAGAGAAACGGCTAAGGCGTCTTTTGCTACGGCCGAGGTCTTTCCCTTCCCTGTCCTTGCGGCGACCGAGCGACGTTTTTTTATTGGCGCGATGCTCGTCTATGGCATAAGTGCCATGGCGGACGCTCTCCTATTCTTTCACGCCTGGATCGACCGTTGTGAGTTGCATGCAGGCGCTGGCGCTGGCGAAGGCGACTCGGAGAACGACGGCACCAACAGCAATCAGCGGAAAGTTCCCGTGTCGTCGTCTGACGCGGGTGTGGCGAACGCGTGCCGGCGGTGGGTGGCTGATGTTTTACTGAGTCTATTATTGCCGTCACTTGTCCGGGTACTGCAGTCGATCGCTTTCTGCGTTCCAACGGAGCCGATGCTGCCGGCTCTACTTCGACTGAACCGCTCTGTAGAGTTTAGAGCCACTTCACCTGCAGCGTGGGCCGGCGATCATGCGGCGCGGGGGAACGCACGCATGCATGAGGCGTGCTGCCAACACGCAACCAAGTTGACTCCAGGGACTACCACCACCTCCTCCTCTGCGTGGGCGTCCACACCCTTCACAGAGTGTCTTCAGGTTGCTAGGGAGGTCATGACGCTGGCATGCAGCGTTCAGCAGGTACTGTTGTCCCACAATCACCGTGTTCTCGTCCCTGCGCCTCCCCACGACGAGGAGATGGCGCGATGGATGATGACACCATTTGCGAATATCCCACATTCTCTACTCGGCGACACCGCTCCCCGCTGCAAGGTCTTGCTGCACATTGTGGAGGGTTTTCTGCAGCGAGTGCCGTGGACTGGATGGGCGTCGGCGCCTTCACGTGGCCCTCGTGATGCGGGGTGCGCAAAGACGTCCATTTTTGACAGCCAGGAAGCGGGTACACGCTGACTGGGACGCGTTGCATGCTTCTCCGCCCCTATTTGCGGCAACATGCGTGATAGCAACGGTCTCTGCGCTGCTTCGTCTTGCGTCGTTTGCTGATACTTGGCCCGGGGGACGACAACAGCTTCTGGACGCAGTGCCACCGGCGCGAATACGCACCGTGCTGTTTGGAGTGATGGCGAATTGGTTTCACAGCATTGAAGATGCGGCGTCTCGGCGCGCCTTTATGCGTGAGGAATTACGCCTCCGCCAACGACAACAACCATACCCGCAGTCGCAGGAGAACAGGAAAGGGGACGGTGTATTATCCACGGTTTCCTACATGTGGGATGGACTGATGACGTCCTTGTCGCTTCGTACACCCCAAGAGAGTGATGCAGCACGAACGAGGAAGGCGGAATGTGAGGCAATTGATGCCTACGTGGACAGCCACCACAGCCTGATCTGCGACGACGTCGTGTACATGGCCATGACCCTCTATGCGGTGGAGCAGGAGTCGCGGACTCGCCGCCTTGCCACCGTCAAGGCAAGCGACGCGTCCACGCCGTACGTCACCCTGCAACGGCTTGCCCAGTGCTCCTTGGAGTCCCTTCTTCCAGATGTTGAAGTGCCCACAACATTTTGTTTTGCCCCTCTCGCGACCTGCTGCGCGAGGGACGTGGCATCGCGTCCAGCCACGGAGGGGAGCTGGAACGGGCTTGTGGGGTTCCCTGGCAACTTTTCCTTGCTGCTGCGGCGGCTGGTCGCAGACGGGATGCCAGGTGGCCGGCACGACGCCACGGGGCGTAGAAGTAGCTGGGAGGGACCGCCCATCGAAGGACTTCTGCTCAAGCAGGCCTCTGCACTCGTGCGCGTCATGGCGGTTGTTGCCGCCTTAACACAACACACTACGAACGAGGGAGGCTCAACGGCGGCGGCAACAGAACCACCACCAGAAACCGTGAAGTTTGTGCTACACCCCGCGGATTTGTCCTTTTCACAGTGGCGTAAGCTGTGCTTTGCCCTGCATGCCATGCGTCGGGCGGAGGCAGACAACATTGCGTTTACTTCACCTGCTGCGGAGTGCCGCTTCCAGCACCTGCAGACCTGCACAGAGAACGTGCAGGAGGCGGCCTCTTGCACGCAGCTTGGGCGGGGGCAGGAGAACGGCGAGGTTGCGGGACATTGCTGCCTTGCGTGCTGTCCAAGCGCGGAGTGTGAAGTATACCTCAGGTTGTACGTGGAGGCGGGCCTCGCATTGTTGAACCGCTCGCGCATGGACGTCTTGGTGTGCCGCTCCACCAATGCGGAGGAGCGTCGTGTGTTGTTTATGGTGCTATTAGTGCTTCGACGTGCCGTTACCATATTTTTTTCGACAAGGGAGGCCCCCAGGGACGGCGACGGGGCCGATGCGCAAAGTAGCACACAAGCCCACAGCAGTGAGCTACGCGAGGCGCATTATGCACGCAATCGACACCTGCTGCTTCCACGAAGGCAATCACGCCGGAAAATGGAGCAGGATGTACTGATGCGCATTTCCGCCTTCGCATTTGGCGTCCGTCCGTTGCTCTCTGCGGACGAGTTATTGCACTGACGACGCGTAGCACGAACACACACGCAAAAAAAAGAAAAGGAAAAAAAAAAGTGTCTACTTACTTTCCTATTGCTTGCCCGTGGGCCTAGTGAGTTTTTTGTTCTTGTTGTTGCTGCTTATTTTATTCGGTTTCACTTGATGTAATTGTATGCCGGCGGGAGAGTGCCCCCAGCCCAACAAGATGGAGAGCAGGGGGTGGCGGATGCCATGAGACGCTTTCTTGCTGTGTCTAGTCCTCTCTCTCCGCCCTGCGGCCGAACGCGCATACGTGTTGTGGGCTGGCTTGCCTCTGCTGGACGCACCGACCGTTGCGCGTGACGGGGTCAGGAGAGTGGACTCGCGTGGGACTCCTCAACAAGAGAGCGAATGAGTGAGTGAGAGTGAGAGAGAAGATGTTTGTTCAAACCGCAAGGGCTGGGATGGCGCGGCATGAAAAGTGAATGGTTCCCACGTGTGTGTGTACTTGTGGGGTGGTAGTCGGGGAGGACTCCACCTGCCCCCATCTTTGTCATGTTTGAGCTACGCCGGCGCCTGCGCCCGTTCTTGCCCTGTTTTTTTTTTTTCTGTGCGGCGAAGAAGCGGAGGGAGCGAAGGAACACAAAAGAGAGAAAAAAAAGTAAGTAGGCCCCCGCAGCACACAGGGGGACGCGCGGCTCAGCGGGAGGGACTCAGCCGCAGGTGGCTCGTCCCATAGGCACACACACGCAGGGAGTTTCTGTGGGTCGCGCGGCACGGCCGCCTGCTGCGACGTTGATGACCCGCAGCGACAGAGCCACGGCGCAAGATATTTTGCACGTTTTGGCCCTCGATGACATGCGGGCCGATGGGCAACCCGGCCGGGGGATTGCAGCAGGCAAAGGAGGCCGGAGCAGTCAGCGGTGCTGCCCCAAGGCGCCGCAACTGGCAGAGGCCACGTTGAACGACGCAAGCGCTGTCACTTTCATGCGCCGGCTTGATGCCGCCAGCCTGCTCCTAGAGGCGGAGGAGCTGCTGCAGCAGCGTCACCAGCCCGCGGTGGCTGATGGCTGTGTACTTCCGGTGGGATTGACCGCACCAGCGTGGCACCGCGACGAAACGCAGGGCCCTTCATGGTCGCCGCAAATCTCGTTAGCCGCGGCCACGGCGACGGCGGCGCGAAAGACAGGGCCCGTCTCCTTCGTTGCATTGAAAGAAAGCCGCGCGGGTGCAGACCCAGTAGACAAAAATGAGGGAAACGCCAGGTGCGCGAAAAGTCATAAGAGGAAAGAGACGCCGCCTGGCGCATTTCACACACCATGCCGGCATTATTCTGTCGATGACTGTTGCAGCGGTGCGGGGCAGGCGAAGGAGGATGGTGCGGCGATTCCCAACACAAAACTGCGCATCTCGTCCATGGACCACCACGGGCACCGTGCTGCCTCTGACGATGACGGTGAGGGCGGTGGCCGCCGGTTCATCACCCGCAGGGCGGGGGGTACGCTTTTGGACCCCAAGCATGCCGCGTTGCGGGCGGCGTTTACTGCGCCGGTTACAGCTACCTTGACTGGCCACTACGACGCACTGACCCCAGCTGGACGTGAAGGTGCAGCCGCCCTCGCTGCTTTGACTGCGTTGCCGAAGAACGTTACACACGACGGGTATGACACCCATGATGCCGAGGCAGCGGGAGTCCATGACACGATTTTCTCCTTGAAGGAGACGCAACGCCTGCGATACACGCCACCCATGATGCAGGACGAGAAATCTGACTCATCTGCCTTGCCGCATGCCGTGAGGCGTTCGCTCCACCAACGCCTGAGCGTAGTTCGCTCTGTGCAACGCGACACCGCCGCGGCGTTGGAGGAGGCAACCCAACTACTGCTGCAGGAACGCAAATGGGTCATGATGCGGTGCACCACCCTCTACGATCGTCTGGAGCTGCTCAGACGCCATCGCACCACGATGATGAAGCAGCTACGGTCCGTCCACGGCGATGCAGCGGCGGCACTCTTCTTAGACACGAGCCGTGACGTTTGAAAGGGAAAAAAAACCCTGGACGGCTGTAAGCCCGCGAGAAAATGACACCAACGGGGAAAAAAACAACAACAACATTTTTCCTTTCTCATGTTATCACATAATATGTTGATGGTGTCTACCTGCCCTGGGCAGTCGGACGACTTTTCGTTTCCTTCGCTCTCCACCTGATTGTTATTGCTCCACGACGAGCACCACGTAGCACTGCCGCCGTTCATGCATTGTATGTGTGTGTATGCGTGTGTGGGTGAGAGAGGCAACGAGGCATTCTTCAACAGATTGACTACATCCTCAATGCGACCGAATCAGTGGTCCAGCACATACATAAAACAAGTAACAACACACAAAAAAACTATCGACAAAATTTCATACTTTGCCCCTCTCTGAAATGTCCTTTCATTTGCAGTTAGTATGCACTCTTGCGGAGGCCACGCTCAGCAGAAGCAAAATGACTGCAGTGTCGCACGTATGGTCTCCCCCAGTCCGTGCTTCACATGGCTTCTCTACACGCTGCTTCCTCCCATTTTTATTTCGCCCCTCTATTTCTTTGCCTCGCGTTGCCCTTCACTGCGGCAGACGTGATATTATTATTATTTTTTTTTTGCAAGCCAGCAGCTGCCAAGCAGGTATGCCAGCCATGTTCCCCGTCACCAAGTCGCTGACCCTGTACAAGGATTTCAACAAGGATGCGAAGGACATGCTGACAAAGAACTACACCGAGTCGCGGAAGTGGAAGTTGGAGAGCAAGTTTAAGGGCCCAAAGGACAGGCTCTTCGTCAACCCCTCCGCGACGTCTGACGGCAAGTTCAGCGTGGATGTGGAGTACGTTGCCGGCCAGTGCGACGCCGCGGTGAAGGCGACGCTGTATCCCGATATCAACAATGCCGGGCTGAAGGTGACGTACCCCTACAAGGGCCACAAGGTGGAGGCGTCGGTGAAGAAGAACGGCGAGTACGAGGTGTCGCACGAGTTTGTTCTGGGCGGGCACGTTTCGTCGCACGCGAGGCTGGTGAAGAATGCGGTGGAGATGAGTCTCGTTGCGGCCGTGGCGTCCCAGTGCCAGGTTGGGTGCGGCGCGACTTATCAGCTGGACGGGAAGCAGGGCTGCGAGTGGACGGCCGCCTGCCGCTACGCCGAGGCTGGCCGTGTGGTGGCTGTCCGCACGAACAAGCTGCGCACGTACACAACCAGCATCGTGTCGCCCATTCCGTCGTGCCCGCACCGGGTGGTGGTTGGCGCAGAGGTGGTGTGCGGCCACGGACAGGGCTGGACGGGGACGTTGGGCCTCGAGACGGCCTGTGTACTCTTCAAGGGCAACGCCTTGAAGGCGCGCGTGAACAAGAACAAGGAGTGGGCGGTCGCCTACATTGCGAAGCTCGCCGACAACTGGACGGCGGCCGTCACGGTTGACAAGAACCTGAAGCCCGGCGTTCTTTTGACGCACTCGTAGTCTTTGGTCTCCGGTGGGGGCTGGCACCTTTCTCTTATGGGGAGGGGGGCTGCAGCCGGGCTAGATGAAGTGTTTTTTTAACTTACATTATTTTTGTTTATTTGTTTTAATGTTGTCTTTTTGTCGTTTCACGAGTTCATGTTGGGTGTGGAAGGATAGTAGTAGAAAAGGGGGGCTAGGTGGGCGTATCCCCCCATTGGAGATGTATGGGACAAATAAGGGGGGCCACTCTCCCTAATGACTTAGCAAACTTATTTTTAACATGTCATTGAACCATTGAGGGAACTGCACGGAATTCTTCCCGTGTGTGTGCGTGGACTGTTTCGTATGCTGCTGGCCTTTGTTTCTTCTGAGATGCCTCTTGCGGGCGTTAGGGTCTCTGCGCGCTGCTTCCTCCCATTTTTATTTCGCTCCTCTATTTCTTTGCCTCGCGTTGCCCTTCACTGCGGCAGACGTGATATTATTATTATTATTTTTTTGCAAGCCAGCAGCTGCCAAGCAGGTATGCCAGCCATGTTCCCCGTCACCAAGTCGCTGACCCTGTACAAGGATTTCAACAAGGATGCGAAGGACATGCTGACAAAGAACTACACCGAGTCGCGGAAGTGGAAGTTGGAGAGCAAGTTTAAGGGCCCAAAGGACAGGCTCTTCGTCAACCCCTCCGCGACGTCTGACGGCAAGTTCAGCGTGGATGTGGAGTACGTTGCCGGCCAGTGCGACCTTGGGGTGAAGGCGACGCTGCATCCCGATATCAACAATGCCGGGCTGAAGGTGACGTACCCCTACAAGGGCCACAAGGTGGAGGCGTCGGTGAAGAAGAACGGCGAGTACGAGGTGTCGCACGAGTTTGTTCTGGGCGGGCACATGTCGTCGCACGCGAGGCTGGTGAAGAATGCGGTGGAGATGAGTCTCGTTGCGGCCGTGGCGTCCCAGTGCCAGGTTGGGTGCGGCGTGACTTATCAGCTGGACGGGAAGCAGGGCTGCGAGTGGACGGCCGCCTACCGCTACGCCGAGGCTGGCCGTGTGGTGACTGTCCGCACGAACAAGCTGCGCACGTACACGGCCAGCATCGTGTCGCCCATGCCGACGGTCCCGCACCCTGTGGTGGTTGGCGCAGAGGTGGTGTGCGGCCACGGACAGGGCTGGACGGGGACGTTGGGCCTCGAGACGGCCTGTGTACTCTTCAAGGGCAACGCCTTGAAGGCGCGCGTGAACAAGAACAAGGAGTGGGCGGTCGCCTACATTGCGAAGCTCGCCGACAACTGGACGGCGGCCGTCACGGTTGACAAGAACCTGAAGCCCGGCGTTCTTTTGACGCACTCGTAGTCTTTGGTCTCCGGTGGGGGCTGGCACCTTTCTCTTATGGGGAGGGGGGCTGCAGCCGGGCTAGATGAACTGTTTTTGTGTTATATCCGGGAAATGGTGTCAGTGGTGCCGGTTTCCCTTCGTGAATTCGTATATTTTTGGTTTTTTTTCTTTTTGTGTTATTTGGATGAATTTTATAAAAGGGATGAATAAGGTGTGTAAATCGGAATCAAATTTGAAAGGAAAATGTGTATAAAAAAATGATGTATGATGTTGGTCTGTGAAGTTGTGACATTTTTTCTCATTGTATTTGTCTCTCGCGCTGTATGGGTCGGCGGGAGCATTTTGTGCACGGCGGTGCTGTGGGCCTCCGTGATTTGAGAGGGCGAAAGATGACTTCGATGGGTGGATGTTAAAGGGGAGAGAAAGGCGGATTTGAAGGGATTTCTTTGAAGAATAAGTTAAATAAAATAATAGAAAAGGAGGAAAATCGTGGTGTGCTATGACTGTGGTGGAGACGATAAGGGAGAGATGCCTCTGAGGAGCGAACACGCAGGCAATGGAAGATGCGAAGGAAAGAGCGTGAACGTGGGAGCGGTGCGATATTCGTCGAGGTGGCCGAGACGGCAGTGAGGGGGGCAGATGAGCGTCGTCCAAACCATGCGTGTGTTTCTTTCGTCTTCCGCGCACCGCACCTTTTTTCCATTTTTTTTTGTTTGTTTTGGCATGCTGGGCCGCATGCCACTTCTGCGAAGGGCAGAACGAGTGGAGCGGCGTCAGGTTTTAGATGGTTCGCGTGGAGCTCACATGTGCGGCGATTCGCCTGACGCCCGTGTGGGTGTGTCTGATGGCGTACTGCCCGAATGGGGAGTGGCCGACGCGGCTGCAGGCGCTAGTGCGCGTAATGGACTACGGTTTCTCAGTTGAGGCCTTTAAGCACAGGCCGGTGGTGCTGCTGACGCACATGTTTGTGCACGTCAACGACTCCCACCTTTTTGGGAATCTCTCTGCGCTCACGGCGACCCTTATCGAGTTCGGTGGCTCCTCCGTGATAAAGAACGTGGAGGAAGAGAGCGTCTGGGTGTCGCTGCGGCGCACGCTTGGGTCCTTTGTGGTCCTTGTGGCCGGCAGCATCGTGGGCGGCATCGGGGGCCAGCTGCTGTACAATGACGCCCAGCTGGCACAGCGGCACAAGCGATGGCCGTTGCTGGCGGGAATGAAGGAGGGGGCGAACGGCGGCGCCTTGGACGGCGTGCTTCGACGCGTGCGGAACTGGGTGGACCAGATGAGCTACAAAATGGACAAGAAGCGGACGGACGGCATCTTCATGTGCGGCGCCAGTGCCGGGATCTTCTCCCTGGCCGGTTTCAACGTGGCGTACTACCAGCGGTGGGGCACCGCTCTCCCGATGGTGCTACCGGAGCTCACCGCCGTCGCCTGCTCGCTGCTGCACTCCTCAGAAGAATTTTCCAACGCTGCGTGGCTGCCGGCAGGCGACGTCGTTGGCCACGCAGCCCACCTTGGTGGGTTTACCGCAGGGGCCTGCATGGGTCTCATCTGGCGCTGGCTGTCGGATGTCTATAGCAACAAGCGGGCAAAGCGACCCAAGGCGAAGTAGTTGTGGGCGTTTCTCTAGCATGGGAGGAACCGGCGCGCGAAGGGTTTGTTGTGGACGATGCTTACATGCCTGGCTGCGAGAACGCTGCCACAGTGAAACAGAAGGAAGAAGAATTCAGGGAATATGTGGGCTCTCGTTTTGATATATATATATATATATATGCGCCTTGGCATGAGAGCCCACATTGGAACGGTTCTTCTTGTGGCAACATGAACCTCTCACTTGACGCGGTGGCTTCCAATGCATTCAGTACCCTTACCGTTGTACACGTGTATGGTGCCCAGCTCAGGGGAGGCAGTGTAGGAAGTGAGGAAAAAAAAACACGATAACATTTTTTCTTTTTTGTTTTTGTGTGTGTTTGACCTCGCTGCCAACGAACACGCAAGTTTACTTTTGCGTTGCTTGGCTTGTTATTGCTGTGCATGATGTGTTTTTTGTTCAGAGCTGCAGAGTGCGACTACTGCTGGCAGTGATTCGCAAACGCAGCGTGCCGCTGTGAGTTCTGCGGTGCGCAGTCCCGTTGGCTGACACGCATAACGAGTGCTTTATCGATCAACCGGATTGTGTGTGTGTTTTTTTTTTTCGTTGTGTTCTTCTTTTCTTCGCATTCGCTCTTGTGTAGGGCTTTTAGTTTGTTGTCTTCAGTTCTGTTAGCCACACCCACGTACATATATATATATATATATATACTTGCTGTCTCAGGGTGGGCTGGGAGTGGTGACTTGAAGGGAAGTGCATAGCGGCGGGAGGAGGCTTCTGCGACAACGTTGTGGGCACGCAGGTTGGTCGTGATATAACACAAAGACAAGTGGCGCGGAACATACGGAGGCGGAGGAGAGGGCTGTTCGTGTTTTCTCTTTTTTTTTGTTTGCTTTCTTGTTGGAGCGCCTTGAGTTGCGATGCTGCGGCTGCAGCTTCTTCTCTTTTTGGTGGCCGTACTGCCGTCCCTACGGTTTCCTTTCCTGCCTGCATGCGCCACGCAGGGCGCAGCGGACGTGAGTGCCTCTTTCGCGCCGTTCGGCGGCCCTGCGCAGAAGGTGGAACAATATATAACCATCGAGGAGGACGCCACGCTGCTTCTCATAGGTTCTGACCTGCATTACGTGGCTGTGGCGCCGCGGCGGTACGTGGAGATGGTTAGCCGCGCGCTGCAGGGCGACCTCACAGGTTGTTTTTGCCGCCCCTACCCGCCGAAGCATCAATCGCCATCAGCGCGCGCCAACTCTGCTGCGTCATTGGATATGACGGGCGGGATGGACGGCTGCAGCATCACTCACCTAGCGGTGGTTTCGTGGTTCAACGGCGATCCACAGCAGGTTGCTGCGAACTTCACATGGTCGTTGATGATACCGTTCCCTGACGGTGGTGGGCGTCCGACTGTCGTTCCGCCGGGAACAGCGGTGAAGCTGCCGAATAACTGCTTCACTGAATTGCATGACGTGCTGGAGGGCCTCACGCGACGCCCGGGGAGGCGGTCGCTGCAGCAGCGCACCGTCTACTTTGGGATGCCTCTGTCCGACCCGACGAGGAAACGGTCAAGTGGCCTCTTCGGTGAGGCTTCCTTCACCAACATTCCGTTCTGGATGGCCCTTGGAGTGCTTGTGGTGAGCGGCCTGATGGTGCTGGTGACGGTTCTCTTCACGAGCTGGCGTGTCACTGACGGGATGGAGGAGTTGGGCCCCACCGGCGTGGCCAGCAACGTCGTTATACCCGACAGCACGCGGTACGGGCCGTGGAACAACAGCAGAGGCGACACGGAGGGAAAAGAGCTGGGCTCATCGTGGAGAAAAGGTGGCGCTGGACGACGCCCCTCAAATGTTCTTTCGTTTCTCAGGTGGTGACGGCGGTGCCCATGCGGGCCACACCGAGCGGGGGGGGGGGGGGGCGACGGAATGCGTTCCGCAGGAAGCCTTAAGCCCCGGCGGGGACAAGCGACGTATGGCGAGAGCAGCGCAAAAAAAAAAAAAAATGTAGTAATACAAAAACAACAATTTTTTACTTTTTGTTTTCGTTTTTTTAGTAAAAACGTAACAAAAAAACGTAAATAGGGACGTACGATTTTTTACGTGTTTTTGTT